CAGAAGCCTCCACTACATGCAAAACTTGTGACTTCTGCCAAAAGTTGGCCCCTTTATTTAACAGTGAAGGAATCCACAGGACAGGGGCATCGGCTCTACCCATTCTTGATGGATTGCCTACATTGGACCTTTGACTCTCGTTTTTTTTTGGCTTCCAACAGTGCTTCACCATTGTTACACTTTTTTAGGTTATGATGTTGCTGGTCCAGTCTCATTAGCTGACTCTAGGCATACCATTGTGGTGTTTGAAACCAGACTATCATGTATTTGGCTTTCTGGATCATTTGCAGCTTGACAGTGGTGCACCTTTTGTAACAAAGCCTGCAAAGCCACCCAACAAGGGACTGAGAGTCCAAGTATTCAATGAATCTATATGCTCTCTATCATCCACAGGCTTCTGGTATTGTTGAGCTTTGAAACACTCTCCTCGGAAATCAACTCACAAAGATTTCAGACTCTACCTCTCTCATCTCCTCCTTGTCTAAATACCTTAGTAAGGCAGTTTGGTCACTGTGATGTTTTTGTAGTATGTCAGCTTGGCTAGACTAAACCATATTTCTGAATTCCCATAGCTCAGTGTTGGCCTCCTCTGATGGCAGATTGGATACTCATCAATGTCATAGCATACCAGCCTTTGTGAGGGAAAAGCCATTCTGTTGAACCCAGGCATGGACTCCATTACCCACTATGGCCAAGCCATCTCATACATGGACTATTCCATGTACACTCTTCTCACTTGTACATGGGCCTATTGAGCACTGGCATCACCACCTGATTAAATTTGTGAAAATCTATCATCTGAATTTTGTGCAGGCCAAACATATAAGTTAAATGAAAATATGTTGGGGATCACCAGGTCTGCATCTTTTGAGCTTTGGATGGTGGTGGTTCTGGATGGTGGTAGCAAGAGATAGGGATTCCCCCAGGGATAGGGCATTGATTTTTGGTTGAGTATTTAAGGTAGAGGTGGGGAGGAGCAGTTCTAGAATCTTTCACTTGGCCTGTCCCTTCACAATAGGCTTTATTCTTTGGGTCAGGAAAGAAATGTGGGGATTTTACCAGCTGGGAAATATATCTGATGTGACTGGGGAAATAACCACAAGATTAGTTCAAGGTCTCACCTGGCCCACTGTGAGATGGACTTCAGCCAAAACTCTATCTGCTGATCTCCATAAGCTCTTTCCTTTCCATTGGATGATGGGGCACTTAGGTTTTCCAAAGATTAGGTTCAGATATGAGGCAATATCCACAATATGGCAGCTAGTGGGATGAGCACAGCTTTAAAAATGACCAGAATCTGATTCTTGGCCTCACTTTTTTCCAGTTTTTTTTGGGGGGGGGGTGGGGAGGGCAAGGGGAGGAGGAGAAGAGGCAAGGTTTTTAAGCTCTCTGAGCCTGTTTGCTTATCAGTAAGATGGAGCTAAAAATACTCATCAGATTGTTGTGAGGATATGGCAAGATCACTTACATCAAGTGTTTTAAGTGCTGCCTAGAATGTAGTCTAATGACCATGAATACCATTTACTTCTTTTTTTTAATGTGTTTTTAAGTTTATATTTTGAGAGAGAGAGAGTGAGAGAGCCGGAGAGGTAGAGATAGAGGGAGAGAGAGAGAATCCCAAGCAGGCTCTGCACTGTCAGTATGGAGCCTGATATGGGGCTCGAACTCACCAACTGTGAGATCATGACCTGAGCTGAAATCAAGAGCCAGACACTTTAACCAACTGAGCCACCCAGGCGCCCCCATTTACTTCTTTTGGAAGGAGAGTGCAAACCTGAGTTGTTATCATTCCTTCATCAATATTTTGATAACTTACATTCCATAGCATTTTGATTTTTCTAATTTAATTTCAAAGGTTTTACATCACTTAATTATTCATAATATTTCTTGAAAGTAGATTTGAGCTGGTACAAACTCCCCTTGAGATTTTAGATACTTAGACCCAGAGAATATAGAGGATTTGCTCCTTATTTTCACACAATGAGCCATACAATTTAACTTACATTTTGAAAATACATTTGTACTCCTATCCTAGAACTTAATTTAGCAAGTTATTTCTTTTAAAAGTTGGTGAGAGGGGCGCCTGGGTGGCTCAGTCGGTTAAGCGTCCGACTTCAGCTCAGGTCACAATCTCGCGGTCCGTGAGTTCGAGCCCCGCATCAGGCTCTGGGCTGATGGCTCAGAGCCTGGAGCCTGCTTCTGGTTCTGTGTCTCCCTCTCTCTCTGCCCCTTCCCCGTTCATGCTCTGTCTCTCTCTGTCTCAAAAATAAATAAGACGTTAAAAAAAAAATTAAAAATTAAAAAAAAAAGTTGGTGAGAGTGTAAGACATTTTGCTCCAACCAGAGCTACTAGGAGTATAAACTGGGAAAGCATGTCTGCAAGATTTAATACAACCAAGAAAAATACCAGTAACTTTAATGCAGCAGTTCATCGTCTAGAAATTCATGTATTTTGTCCTTTTTGTATCTTAAGTTACTTACATGGATCTTTCACTTTTAGCCTTTATTTTTCTCTAACATGAGCATTTAGGGCTATGATATCTAGACAGTGTTTGTTATATGGTAGCATTATCATTGTTTTTCATTTCTGCATCCTAAATGATTTCCACTTCTTCTTTGACACGTGAATATTGAGAAGTTACTTCATGAGGAGATGCCTGGCTGGCTTAGGGGGTAGAGTCTGTGACTTGACCTCAGGGTGGTGAGTTTGAGCCCCATGTTGAACATGGAGCATACTTAAAAATCAATAAAATAGAAGTTATTTCATGAATTTGCAAATATGGCGTTTTTCTACTTTTCTTTTGGTTAACACTTTCTAACTTAATTGAATTATGGTCAAGGAGTGACACCAATCCTTTGAGATTTGGTGAACAATGTTACGTGGGATCTTTTTTCGTAAAAGCTCGATGTGAAATTCAAAACAATGTGTGCTCCACAACTGTTGTTCCATTTTTGCCCCAAAGATAATGCCTTTGGCTGCCAAGTTTAGTCAATATAGTAACATCTTGATAAAAATATTACAGAAAGTGATGTGTAAAATATCCCATAGACAGTAGCATTGTGAATTCCTGCTTGTAGTTCTGCCCATTTTTTATTTATATACAGTATTTTATGCTATTCAGTTAGGTTCACAGAAGTTTGTATTTATTTCATGTTCTGGTGAATTAAACCTTTTATCATAATGGAGTGATCCTCTTTATCTCTAGTAATGCTTTTTTGCCTTAAATTCTATTTGGTCTGATAATAACATAGCCACATCTGCTTTCTTTTCCTTAGTTTGTCTAAATACATCCTTTTGCATTCCTTTACTATAAATCTTTTAAGTGAAAAATTTCAGTTATTTATATTATGTATATTCTATTATAATTTACATGATAATCAGTGACCCGTTTGGAATACTTTGGTCATCTTCTTTTGTGCTTTATATTTTGCCTTTTCTTCTAGTTCTATTCATCTTTGGCTTCTTTTGTACTGGTGAAATACTGTTATAGAATTCCTTTTTTTTTTTTTCCTTTGTACAAGTGTGGGATTTCTATTTCTAGTCTAATAATTTTTACCTTAGGTATTTTGACATTCACAATTAACTTATTAAAGTCCAAAATTAGTGAATAGCTTTACCATCCTTCACATCATGCAAGGATATTTGAATACACTAACCTCACATCCTCTCCCCCTTATTTTGTTGTTCATCTTGTTATTTTAAGCCTGGCAGGCATTTTTATTATGTTTTGCACCACAAGTGTTCTTCATTCTTTCCTTCGATCTTTTTTCTGGATTGCTTTCCATCTGTACTGCAGCTCTGTTGGAGGCAGACCCTCTACTTTGTTAGCTTGGAATGTCTTCACATTTTGCTTTCATTCTTCAAGGGTACTTTTATTGATTACAAAATCCCAAGTTGACAGTCTGTGAAAAAAAAAGCATTAACAGGGTGGCTCAATACCGCTATCTTTAGAAAGGACTGCTTACGAGGATGGCCCGCGGCTGGCATGTGGGCCCTTGGATTTCAGAAGTGTTCCCATCATTCCCTGACTGACAAGAATGGCTTACTGTGTCGAAACTGTACCATATGGTCTATGTTGAACATCTGCTCTCCTACTGGGAGTCTGGAATTTTGATCTGTGCTAGACAGAGGTGCCTACGTTCCCAGTTCCCAGTACAAATCTTACGCCCCGAGCCTCTAATGAGCTTCCCTGGTGGACAACATTTTACACATGTTGTCACAACTCTGCTGGAAGAATCGAGCGTGTCCTGTGTGACTCCCCTGGGAGAGGACTCTTGGAAGCTTGCACCTGGTTTCCTTTGGACTGTGCCCCACACACCATTTCCTTTTTTGTTGTTTTTTGTTTGTTTGCTTGTTTTTTGTTTTGCTTTATGTCTTTTTACTATAATGAATGAGTCCGACTATACGCTGAGTCCTGTGAGACCTCCTGGTGAATTGCTGAACCTGAAGGAGCCCTGACACACCGTCATTTCACCTCAGAACACTGGGTATATTCCATCATTTTCTGGCTTCCAATCTTGCTGGTGAGAAGTCAGCTGAAAGTCTAGATGCTATCCTGATACTCTCAGCTCAAGCACAGTGGCTGTCATACGGTGGGAACTCAAATACTTGCCCAAAAATGGTGAAGGAAGGGATTCTACAAGAAGAGGCCTTAGAATGTTAAATACCCAGAGACGTTCCTGTTCATCATAACTTGTGACCCAGGCTTCCTGAAGGATTACTCGGGCCTGGAATTGAAGCTTTCTCCAGGAAGAAAGATTCTTTACAATACATAAATAGGGGCACCTGGGTGGCTGAGTCGGTTAAGCGTCCAACTTTGGCTCAGGTCATGATCTCATGGTTCATGAGTCCAAGCCCCATGTCGTGCTCTGTGCTGACAGCTCAGAGCCTGGAGCTGCTTTGGATTCTGTGTCTCCCTCTCCCTCTGCCCCTCCCTGCTTGTGCTCTGTCTCTCTGCCTCTCAAAAATAAACAGTGAAAAAAAAATTTTTTTTAAATACAATACATCAATACATATATACATACAAAAAATTATTTTAGAGGAACTTGGGCAGCTCTGAGGCACCTGTGGGGTCTGCTGGACTCACAGGTCAATTGTGGGAGGCACAGGCTGAGAGCCTTAGAGGCTGAGGGTCAAGGATTCCTAAGATACCTGTGATGCAGCGAGTGGAGTTTAAGGGCCAACAGGTGGAAGAAGTTGGAGGTCCCTGCTTAGTTTTAGGTGAGAAAGAGCAAGTCTCTTGTTTGGAATGACTGGGAAGGAAGGTACAATAAATGCAAAATCTGCAGGACGGGGTCAAAAAGTGGGCCAAGTCGGTCTTGGAGAGAGGCTAGGAGGCTTGTGGAAGTAACCCCTTTCATTGCTTCCAAGGTCTCTTGCCCCAGTCCATCCTGAGGGAGGAAAGGAGTACCAGAAATGAGTACAGATTCCGAGAGCTTGTGTTCCAAAAGTGAGCTCAACATTATGTTGCATATGACTGCAATTCTCTGTAAACACTTTTAGTTGGTCTACTCCTGCTCTTCACCCTGCAAGATTTTTTTTTTTTAACCTAACCCAGACTTGCTCTCAGGGGTCCTAATTCCACCCCAAGGCATTTTTGACAACAACCAGAGGTTGGAAGAGTTATACCCTGGGGCAAGATTGTAAATGGCCCCTGATCAGGATGCAAAACAGCCATTTGCCAGATCAGACTGCGTACTGCATTCCTGATAGCCTGTTAAGCTCAACCAAGAAACATCTGGATACCTCTCAGGCAAAGCCGTGATAACCAACCACTGGGGCTACCCTTTGGTTGTGTTTACAGTTGTCTACTTGCCTTCTGCTAGGATATATCTGGTTTGTGCAGGAACCAGATGTGATTTAAAAGGGGGTATGATAGGCACCTCCACCTGCACATTCTTTCATCTTTATGGGTGACGCTAATTTATTAGGCCAATCCCCCCTGGGATGGAATATGGTTTTTGACATACTATTTTGGTCGGGGAGGCAGTTTCAGAGGCTTCCACTTGACTTTTCCCCCTACAGTGGTTCTTCCCCACAGGCTGAGGACCATATGGGGTTATTCTGATTGGGAAACATGTCCATTCCAGTGATCTATTTGTGGATCAGGGAAATGAGCATCCGGTGGATCTATGGGCACAGTGGGTCCACTATGACTTGGCCTGGCCCAGCCATGTATGAGCTGGGCTCCATAATGATGATACTTCAGGTCTCTGCTTCTCAGTGTTAACTCATCCTGTGTCCGACAGGCCTTGAAATATCTGGTTATTCTCCTTTCTTCTGAGGTCCCTTTAGAGGTCCATTTGGAGAGGGACCATCACTACCATATACATTTGCCATGACATTGTAGGATCCTTCCTTATGCAGCTCAGCCTCCCTTCAGTCAGAGGTCTGATGGGCAACTGATCATAATTTTTTACTGGGATGGCTGCCTTGAGCCTTTATCATCCATCTGATTCCCTTTAGTTGTATAAATTAAGCTATATCTTGCCCCCTAGGAATACTATGTTCTAATACCATCTCCATAATTCTCTATGGGAACAGACTCCTCTGGCTGCTGTGAATTACAACTGTTCTTGTCATGTATTATAGTAATCTTACCCACCTTGCTGCTGGCAGTGGCGTGCCATCACTGGCCTCTATTATTTTGAGATTCTGTCATCCTCATCAGAATTAGAAGCGTACTTCTTTCTGCACGGGCATCTCCCATCAGCCCTGGCCTAGAGAGGAGCAGCCACTGGACTTTTTACCCATGCTGGTGGCCATATTCACTAGCACATTCCTTATCATTTGGGAAAAATAGAATGTTCTTCAGGTCATCCTGTGGACCACAGCCGCCTGGTGGGTTTTCTGTCCTCAGTAGCCTGTCTACACCAGCATGCCCACTTCTCTGGGTCTTTTGATCCCTTCACCCACTATTTGCCATGGCAGTGCTGGCAGTTCTGTTTCATTTAGTGCAAGCCATTGCTTTTTCTAAGCTTCCATGAGCCAACCAAGTAGAGCATTAATACCACTGCCTGCTCCTTGCCAGGGTGTTACATCCTGTACCACATAGCAGTGCTCCCAATTCAATCCACTCTCCTTCATCCAACTTCATGGTTTGCCTCCCTTGATGCAACACAAGGAGAATCCAGTCCCATGTCAATTCTCCAACTCCTGCTGGACTCACTGGCCATGTCCTGCAGTTCCACTGGTGTTCGATTCCTTCTCCCACTTGGTAGGCCTGCTGTCTTCCCGCTGTGGCCAAGAGGACTGCAGTGTGGTTGCTCCAGCTGGGAGGGATCAAGACAAGGTAAGGCCTGGCTGACGGGTTTAGCGGGCAAAGAAACAATGAGCTACTTTTTCAGATTGGGCACTTTATTACTTATATAGAGAGTGAAAGTGTGAGCAGTCAGAAGTGCCAGATCCCTATGGCCCTTGTGCAGGGTGACACCAAAACAAAAGAGGCCAGATGACAGCAATGTGGATGATGGATGGCACTGTGCCAGATTGCGGCTAAGGATGCGTGATGTGGCAAGAGCGGTGGTAGGCAGAATTTGAAGGTGGCCTCCAAGATTCCCACCCCCTGCCATAATGTCCTGTCTAATCCTCACCCCTTGAATGTTGGTGCCAACTCTATAAACTATAGCCAGCGTTTTATAGTCTGTGGTGGTCCTCATAGGAGGGTGAGACCTAAAGCCCCATGCCTCTCTGGAACCAGGGAGGCAGATGATAAACTGTCTCATGACAGCTCCTCAGAAGACTGCCTATCTTGCCATAGTTTAGGGGGTTAGAAGGTGTTCCTCCACGACATGCATCAGACTTCAGTTTAGCCTTGCCTACGTGGACTACGTGGAGACATGCAAGGTTGCTGGGGCACGATAGTGGAGATGTTTTACCTCACCACCTCTGGACCTCCATATATCATGGCTAAGTATTCTTTTTAGGGGCTCCTGGCTGGCTCAGTCAGGGAGCATGCAACTCTTGATCTTGGGGTTCTGAGTTTGAGCCCCACACTGGGTGTAGAGGTTACTCAAAAAACAAAATAAAAAAAAGAGAAATATAAACCACGCCATCAAATACTATAGTTAGTTGTACTGATAAGAGCTTAGACCAAATCCTTTTTCCTTACTTTAGGCAACAATGAGTGAGAATGACCACCTCTGTAACTCCTCGTAGGACAACCAGGCTGACTTACAAGAAGATGGATTGCAACCAGGCTTCCCTTCCAGGCCCAGGCCAATTTAACATGTCATTAATTTCAGTGCCAGAAGAGGTGTTGGTTATTACACATACCCTGACTTGACTGGTCAGCAGAAAGTGCAGGCAATGTGATCATCCATCACCACTGACACTGGATAGTTCAGACTGTTTATGAGTGGCAGGTGATTATATACCTGATATTAACTGTGAACAGTATTATTCACTTGGGGCAAAGGTATATTAGCTATCGTAGCCCAGCCCAACCTCAATACTGTGTCCTGCCCATGGTTACTTAGATTCTGCTAATAGAAGGTTTGAGTCATCTCAGCAGCAGCATTTTACTTATGTGAGGTCAAGGTCTAATTCTTGCAAGACCGGGGGGTTGGGCGGGGCACCTAGGTGGCAGGTTGGGTGTCCTCCAGCTCAGGTCATGATCTCATGGTTCAAGAGCTCAAACCCCACATCAGGCTCTCTGCTGTCAGTGCAAAGCCCACTTCAGAACCTCTGTCCCCCTCTCTCTGCCCCTTTCCCTTGCTCTCTCCAAAAAATAATAAATAAATGTTAAAAAAAAAAATAAAGACTGGGGGTTGGGATTAGCCATGTAAAGGAAATTTAAGTACCAGAAAGAACCTATAAGAGAGAATACTTTCTAGAAGAATACTTCCCAAGTGTTCAAAGAAGGAACTCTCAAGCATCTATCAGCAGGGTCAAGAGGGTGAGACAGATTCAGCAATCCCAGGGAAGTGTGTGTGTGTGTGTGTGTGTGTGTGTGTGTGTGTGTGTGTGTATTTAGGTGGAAGAGGGAGATCAGCAATAATAAGATAAGCCTAAGTAGAACCATAAGTGTCCTGAAAATTAATTTTTTTGATGTGTTGGGCAAAGATTCTCTATTTTATAACTTAAGGTGTCCACTAGAATGGGTGTCCTGCAGTTAGGGCACAGGCAGTGGGGACCATGTGGTACAAAGGTTACTCCAAGATGACAGAACAAACCAGGTGTTCTGCGGGCAGGAACCAAGAGGTCTAAGGTATTCCTTCCCACCAGCCCAGGTGGTTGCTCTCCTTTCATGGTCACGGGATTGGTATATCCAGCAATCCATTGGCTACTGTCCACGAATCAATAAAGATATAGCAAGGTACATTTTGGAGGGTTTACTCAGGACAAGCATGCCTGATTCCAACTCTGTTCACTGGGAAGAGTTCTCTTTTTCGTGCAAAGTTTTAAACAGCTGTTTTCTGTGGCTGCACAGCTGCAGGGGCCAAGCACATTCCACTGGTCTTTAACTTGGCTGATCCATCTGTGAACCAGGCCCAGGCATCCTCAGAGACCTTGGTGGACTAGTGCCCCCAAGAAGCTGGAGGTGCTGGCCCAAACCTTCCCTCTGGGATTGCCGCATCTGTGGATGTCTGGCCACATTTTTATGCAGCAACCTGACTCGTTTGATGCCTAGAGGCTCTAGTCAGCAGAGCAGTTAGTCACTGACTTTTATAGTTTCAAAGGCTTACTGGGACTAACTGGTCAGAGGGGGAGGGCAGGGTGGACAGCCCACAGGAAGGTGGTCAGAAGCACTCCTGCCTGTGTCAGCTCTTCCGTCAGTGCGGTGGTCTCTTCCCCATGTCCTGCACTACCTCACCCACACCACCAGCCTGGGCTGGGGCGCCTGATGGGTCCCGCATGGGTACTGCTCCCCCTGGCCCTGTCTTCACTGTAGCGTTTTCCCCACAGGGCTTCTTACCATCAAGAGAAGTTCTACACACGCTTGAAACGCTGCGTGTCCCCACACCATTGAGGGTGCATGACCCGGGGTGAAATTGTGCCCGTGGGCCAAGGTCATTCTTGGAAGGGGACTCAGCACTGAGCTACCAGCAGTTAAAACCCTGGCAGCTTGAGGAATGACCACCTTGGTCCTCATGGGGGATTTGGGGAGGCACCCACAGGTCTACTCTGCACCCTAAAGTCATTGTGTTCACACTGCCACTACAGCTGAGACTCCAGTAGGCGGTCACACCATTCTGGGAAGCTGTCTGCTTCTAGGAGATATGGCATGTGGTAACATCAGGGAATTTCGTGATTTGGGCCTACTGCCCACATTTTTTTGTCATAAAATAGTATCCCATGGCCAAATAATTTGTGAGACACCACTGTAATTGAATAAGCGTTTGTAAATCTATGAACAGCAGTGTTGACAGAAGTGCCGTGGGCACGTAGGCAAATCCACACCCAGAATATGTTTGCGTTCCCTTGCCTTCATTCCCCACCACCATTTGCCTTTTACACTCACCAAACGGGAGGTAAATGCAGATGCGGTAAAAATCGTTAGTCCTGCCTCTTTCAAATCTTTATGGAACTCATTTCTGCACTGTTCCACAAGCACAGAATTCTTAGGTATTATCTTGGCTCTAGGAGGCCTGTTCAAGGAAGGAATTTGGCCATTCTTACCATAATAGACCTATTCCTCTGGTAAGGGAAGGAAGGCTGGCAAAATAACCACACGGTGTGTCTGGGATCCCACTTGACCTTCTGTGAGATGGACTCTGGCCAACACTTATCCTCATACTGACCTCTAATCCTCTCTCCAAAGAATCACAGTATTCCAGGGATTAGGCCCAGATAAGCACCCGTATCTACAAATGTGGCTTTCAGGAAAATGAGCACAGACTGAGATTAAAGCACCTGATTCCTGATCCTCTCTTTTGCTAGGCGTATATTGGGCAAAATCCTTAAACTCCCTGAGCCTGTTTGCTCATCCATAAATTAAAGCCAAAAATATTCTTCTGATTGTTTCTTGTTTGTGCTGATGTGATAAGATTACACACCAAGTGCTTTACACGCTGCCTAGAATACAGCCTAACATCCGTCAATACTATCGGCTTCTACTTCTTCTGGAAAATGTAAAGAAGAATAGAAATATGTATGACTATCAGTATTTTAATAGCTCACTTTATGCATTTTAATTATTTCTCATTTATTTCCAATTTTTGTTGTTTCTTAACAACATAGAATCTAGGGATAGAAATTTAGGACTAGGTCAATCATCAGGTTGAATGGATATTCTTATATGACTAGACTGGATACTAAGGCCCAGAGAATCAGATGATTTGATCCTTATTTTCAAATAATTGAGCTGTAAGAGTTATCTTTTACTTCTTTTAAAAAATATCTTTGGGGCACCTGGGTGGCCCAGTCGGTTAAGCATCTGACTTCGGTTCATGTCATGATCTCACGGTCCGTGAGTTCCAGCCCCACATCTGCTGACAGCTCAGAGCTTGGAGCCTGCTTCCGATTCTGTGTTTCCCTCTCTTTCTGCCTCTCTCTCTCTCAAAAATAAATAAACATTAAGTTTTTTAAAATACCTTTTTACTCAACATCTAATCTGTACCCCTAGTCTAGGATTTAATTTGGAAAAGATTTTTTAAAGTCTTAAGACTGTAGAAAATGTGTGCTGTAACCATAGCTTGTAGGAATGTGAGTTGGTAAAGCATTTCTTTAGCTATTAAGACTAGCTAAAACACTGATTTCTGGACTCTACTCTTAGTTTACGATCCAGTAGAATTGGGGTGGAGCCAAATAATTTGCATTTCTGACAAGTTCCCAGATGATGCTGATCCTGATGCTGCTGGTCCACAGACCACACTTTGAGAACTACTGATGTAGAGTATTCTGGTAATATTTAACTAAAGCCAGAAAAATATTCATAAACTTTGACCCAGGATAAATGAAGATGAGCAGCCCGTGTGCCAACACCTGCCTTGGATGCTCCCCATCTGACCCCAAGGGCCTGCCACAGCCCCTCCTAGTCACGCGGGGCAATCTCCTCCCCCCCCCCCCCCCGCGCTTCCATCCTCCCCCCAGGAAGCACAGTGGAGGCATGATTCAATGGGCAGGGAGCAGCCCCAGGTTTTCAGGGTGCAGCTGAGGCAGCAGAGAGGAAAGGCATTTGGGATCATGCCCCAGCCCCTACTAAAGTGTTTCCCATTGTCCATATCAGCATCTAACATATCACAGATTTGACTGGTTTGTCTCATTTATTGCCCGACTCCTTTGCCCCTCTTCAGAGCGTAAGTTCTCAGAGCAAGAATTTTTGTGTGTT